ACACTGACCGCTAAAAAATATGACATTTGGCACTTTATGGCACGCGCCAATAGGAGCCAGCGAAATCGAAAAACGCAAAGAAAGATAAAAAGCCTAAAGCTAAGGAGAACAAAACAACCAAGACAAAGGCGACAGAAAAGAATGCGAAAGCGACCGCCAAAAGCACTCAAAAAGCCACCACTCCCAAGGCGGCAAAGAAAAATGTGCCTAAATCCAAAGCGATGACGAAAACGTCGCAAAGTTCCAAACTGTCAGAGGCGGCTGGCAAGCTAAAGAGTGAGAGTCAAAAGCCACAAGCAGCGGCTGAGAGCGCGTCCTCGAGTCAAGTAGCTCAGACTCAAAGCCAAACGCCTGCATTATTATCGCCTCAAACGCAACCAACGCAAGAAACGCAGACAACACCATCCGCGCGCTTCAAATACCAACGCAAAGCAAAGACACCCACCAGCGGTTTTGTGATCAGTTATGCCGAGCCGCCGAGCCCCAATAGCGACGAGACGCCCACGGAAGAATCTAGCAACAGCAGCGCGAGCGCTCGTGAGGCGCAACAAGCAGCGGCAACGGTGGCGGCAGCGGCAGCGGCAGCGGCAGCGGCGGTTGAATCGACAGCCTCACTGACGGCCAGCGAACGTGGCGCGGATACACAAAGCGGTGATGAAAAGCTGCAGCGGCAGCAGTCCACACCCAAGTCACACAAGCGCGCCAAATCGCACAAGCATAAGAAGAGCAAAAAGAAGATGAAGCACGAGATGGAGGCGGGTAGTGGTGGTGGCGATGGCGATGGCGAGGGTGAGGAACAAGCAGATGAGGTTGCAAGTTCATCACGCATGAATGGCGTTGTGATCGCTACGAGCTGCGTAGAAAATGGTGATGGAAGCGACATGGCCGCTAGCGCGGGTGGTGAGCATGAAGCTGGCGCAAAGCCGCCATTAACCACCACCATCAAATTCAATGTGAGCGCGCAAAGCAAGCCGAATGTAAAAAAGACGAAAAACGCCAGTGGCGGCAAGAAGCACAAGCGGCGCAGATGAGTTTGCATGCAAAAGGAGCTAGGAAAATTCTTAAACTAAAAAAAAAAATTAACAACATAGTACAAATTCGTGTGACTCCCTCCGCCTATTCGTGGCTCGTTTTCTTCTTACACAATACACGTACAAGCGTATAGTCGTTTTTTTTTTAACTAAAGTAGTTTAATTATTATATGTAACTGTAACAACAACAACAACATTGAATAGTGTTAGGTAAAAAATAATAAAAAAATAATAATAAAAATGAAAATACAGTAAAAATAAACAACAACATTTAGGTATGTAGCTGCCACTAGTCAGTCAGTACAAATGTCTGTATGTGTGTCTGTACACTAGCAAGTACAACTACAACTGTAGCAACAACAACATATAACATCAATCTCCTCCTCTTCTTCTTCCATCACGCATCTTCTCTCCGACGTGTATCCTAATATTGCACCCATTTACAGTATTGCCAGTTTTGCACATCTGGCGAGAATGAGGACAAGCTGCTGCTATGCGACGGTTGCGACAAAGGCTATCACACCTACTGCTTCAAGCCGAAAATGGACAATATACCCGATGGTGATTGGTGAGTAATTGCATTTACTAATAAATAGAGTACATGAGAACGGATCAAAAAGAAAGTCGAAAAATCTACCCCTTATTTGTATCTATATATCGACTGCTGAGTGGAAGATCGACCTATCTCGGCAGCCAGTTCGAAAACGCTCTATCTCAAAAATCTTTTCAGGAACGCCCTATTTCAGAATTTTATTGAAAAACACCCTATCTCAGAATTCGGTTGAAAAACGCCCTATCTTACTTCAAAATATATTGAAAATGTACAGATATAGGGCGTTTTTGAATCGGCAGCTGAGATAGGGCGTTTTTGAAACGAATTCTGAAAAAGGGCGTTCTTGAAAAGTTTTTTGAGATAGGGCGTTTTCGAACTGGCTGCCCAGATAGGTCGATCTTCCACTCAGCAGTCGATATGTAGTGAGGTATGTACATCTCTGAGTACATTGGCATGACAATTCTGACAACTGTCTTTCAACTCACCGCAGTCTTTCGTAAGGCTAAGTTTTCTAAAATTTTAATTAAACAAGAAAAAAAAATATTTTTTCTTTTTAAATAATAAAAACTAAAAATTTAAGAAAATTTAGTTTAAGCAAATAAATACATATATAAATAAAATATTGAAATTAAAAAATGTGTTTCTTAAAACAATACAACCTAAAAATTTAAAGAACATCAGATTAAAGAAGAAAAAAATAAATAAAATAAGTAGGAATTAAATGAACTTACAAAATATTTTTCTTTTGAAAAAAAAAAATAAAAAAATTAATTGAAAAACAAAAATATAAAACTAAAATTTAAAAAAATCAAATAAGTTACTTAAAATTAAATGCAACTTAAAATTTGTTTTCTATTTAAAACAAAGTCTAAAAATTAAAAAAAAAACAGTTTTAAAAATTTTTTTAAATATTTTTCTTTTTAAAACATTAAAATCTAAGAAATTTAAATTTAAAAAGCAACAGAAATTAGAAAAAAAATAGAAATACATAAAAAGAAAATAAAATTATAAAAAAGGTTAATTTAAAAAAGAAAATAATTAAAATATAAAAGGAAAAAATAAAATAATTTCCTAAAAAACAATTGGAATAAAAAAAAATAAATAAAAATAATAAATAAAAAAAATAATAATAAATAATAAATAAAAAAATAATTTTCTCTTAAAAAAGGAACAATAAAAATATTTTATTTTTAAATAAAGATCTGATATTAAAAATATCTAATAAAATAAAAAAAACTCACGGAGGTCTCCAAAATAGCAGCTATAACTTCAACCGCTTAGACCTTGTTGCTTTTCCCATTTTTCCTAACAAACAAATCGTGATACAAAGCTCAGTAACATTGCTAAAAAGTAAAAGAAAATAAGCTTCTAAAAATTTAAATATATTAAAAAATTAAAATTTTTCTTTTAGCAATAATAAAATATAGAAAAAAAAACGAAACCAAAATTTAATAGAAAATTAGAATTCCGCTGCGCGAGGTTTCGCACCTCGGATCTCTCGAATGACACGCTAATGCTTTGCTCAAGTGCCTTCTGCCAAAAGAGCTTTTCACTATAAAAGTTGGCAGGGGAGCTTTTTTGTAAGACTTTCGTGCCAGAGTAAATCAAATCTTTTAAATTATCTTGCCTACTACCTTTTAATTGTCTTACAAAAGACTTTCAACTGTCGTTCGCTAAAAGTTTTATTTCTTTTTTTTTAACCCTCTGCCATTTTCTTTTTTTTATTCCTCACCTTTTTCAGGTATTGCTATGAATGCGTCAATAAGGCGACAAATGAG